TAATAATTAATGATGAGACAAAACAGTTTTTGTGAAGATTGAGCAGAAAAGATCAACTCTTTGATCGGATGTTTATTCGTGGTACAATTGAGTTGATATTTAGACAACAATTAGACAATTTTAAGTTATTGACTTTGTACGATCGAATTTTCATTCTATTCCTATAGTTTTCCACACCTACGACTGTTTAACAATCATAAACTTGACTAAAATAAACTTTTAATTACAATTGAGAGATCAAATGAATTATTATTCAGAAAAGATCAACTCTTTGATCGAATGTTTATTCGTGGTACAATTGAGTTGATATTTAGACAACAGTTAGACAATTTTAAGTTATTGACTTTGTACGATCGAATTTTCATTCGATTCCTGTAGCTTTCCACACCTACGACTGTTTAACAATCATAAACTTGACTAAAATAAACTTTTAATTACAATTGAGGGATCAAATGAATTATTATTCATTAATTGTTATTTTTTAACAACAGTTAATCATGTTTATTCAGAAAGAATATTTTAAATAAAGAGATGATATTTTTTAGCTTTATATTATATTTTTATTTCATTTTTATTGCATTTTTATTTATTTATTTAAAAAAAATAATAATTAATTTGATCTCTCAATTATAATTAAAAGTTTATTTTAATATTTTTAAACAATTAATTTTAAAAGTCAATAAACATTATTAATTGTTGTTAAAAATAATATCACAAAATGGCTGTCCCTTTTTTCCCATATGTATGGGGTAAGGGGGAGGTAAGATAGTAGGCTGCCCCCAACACCAGGTTGAGAGCAGCTTCCGTAGGAGACCTTCAAATTATGAAATGTCCTCCGTGGGACTTGATCCCACGACCTCAAGGTTTAGAACCTTGTGCTCTACCAACTGAGCTGGATGGTCATTTTACGATTTTACACAAATATCATCCTAACAGAAATTAATTACATATTAGACACCACTTTAAAATATTTACAAAATTAGCACCCGGGTTTTTTACACATTCAACAAGGCGCGCGCCTTACCCCACGTGACGCCAGATCAACCTAAAGCGCGGTGCAGGGGACACGCCTTTCTCCAAAAGGTGTTAGATCAAAAAATATAACCTGAACGATGCCTGACAGAAAAATATATAGCTGTAGCGTGATTTTTGGGGAAAATCGCCTCGTACAACACCTTAATCCGAGTTAAACCCAATCATATATTTGTTATTTTTGAAAGTGAAATGAGCATGAAGGATTTAATACGGCTGGGAAGAATTTTTATTTGTTTTCTTTATGCGCGGTTGTAAACAGTCTCAATAAAAATTTGGTAAAATCACGCGTTTAGTACCTAAATTTTTGACTTTTTTAAAATCACATCTAAAATTTGATTTTTGTTTCATTTTAGTAACTCATCGTTAAAAACTTTAGTTTTTATTTCATTTTAGTATACACGTTCAAAAATTAACGTTAAGTTTTAAAAAATTAAAAGTTTAGGTACTAAAATGGACCGAAATTGATAATTTTAGTACTAAACGCGTTAAGCTTTTAACATAGAGGTATTAAAATGAAATGGAAACTAAATGGTAGGTATGGTTTTGGGAAAAAAAAGAAAGTTTAGGTATTAAAATGGGTCAAAACTGAAAATTTAAGTACTAAATTTTTAGTTTATCCTAAAAAAATTTAAAATCAGTATTTTAATATATGTTTAACAATTTAATTTTTGATTAATCTGGGTAAATACAAGTCAATATATGTTTAAAGATAACTATTAACCTTCCAACATTGAACATTTACACATATGATATTTATGATGCCTGAATTCAATTCCTCAAAGAATAATATCATTTCTTTTATCATGAGGTAATTTGATTCATGCAATTATAGATTAATCTAATTAAATCGAATAAGATAATAATAATAATAATAATAATAATAATAATAATAATAATAATAAATTTCTTTATCATTAAGTATTTAACCTCATAATAAGAAAAAAGTTATAGTTTCAATTTATCCATAATTACCTCTTTACCATACATATATTTCATTATATTATTTTACAAATAAATAGATAAATCAAGTGGTCGTCATTTCGTGTATAAACTGAATTTCTGGAGAAAAGATCAAATTCATTTGATTTGTTCTACACATCTGCTATTAGTTATACACCTGGGGAAATGGGAGACGAGAACGGGGTCTGCTTGAGGTTTGATTTCCTCTTACAAATGCTTATTCTTTGCTTCAATATATAAATAATTCAATAAATACAAAGAAAAAGGAGAAGAAAAATGAATAATGGTGTAAGTACAGGAGCTGGAATGGAGAACAAGCCGAAGACGAAGATCGTGTGCACGCTGGGGCCTTCGTGCAGGTCCGTCCCGATGATCGAGAAACTTTTGAGAGCTGGGCTGAACGTCGCTCGTTTCAATTTCTCTCATGGATCTCACGCCTACCATCAAGAGACTCTTGATAATCTCAGGGCCGCCATGATCAGTACTGGTATCATCTGCGCCGTCATGCTCGATACCAAGGTGCTTACGTGCTTCCAATATCGTCTTTTCAATTCTTTTAGTTGCCTAATCTTTCTCTTTTTTCCTTTTCAACAATCAACGTTAATCAGATCTAAATCCTAGTGTTTTACCATTTCGTATTAATAATTTTGAACAATCACAACTTTTAAGAAATATGTTCCATCTTTAATCTTCCATCTCCTACATTTCAGATTACTAGAAAATAAAGTAAGGGGTAAACTACATCAAACACCATCAATTTTTAGGCATTGCATCGTTTATACCACTGAACTTTCAATTTTATCAATAATAGTACTAAACTTTGATTTTTGTTTTAATTATACCACTGAACCATTAAATTATTAACGACATGATTATGTGGCTGATGACTGCTGACATATGCACCTCACCAGAACAACTTTTGTTTTGATCTTAATGTTAATAAATTAATGACTTAGTGATATAATTGAAACGAAAATCAAAGTTTAGTCCTATAAAGTGTGATATAAATAATACAACGCCTAAAGTTTGATGGTATGTGGTGTAGTTTACCCTAAATTATACAAGTAGGGTATCGTGGTCAAATTTTAGTTTTGATCCTCTTACTAGATTTAAATTTAAAATTTATCGCTTTTATTATAACTTGGCATAATGTGATCATATACGTCTTTGATAATTGAGGTGGGGCAGACTTCAAACCTAGATAAGAGGGTATCAATACCATTTAACCACTGGGACATATACTTCTATAATGTTATAATACCATTAGTTGATTCAAACAGTGAATTATATTAATTATTCCTATTGAAATATTAATATGGATATCTTATTATAAACACTTTAACTCATCATATTAACATAGGAGTTTTTAATATACATCTAAAATAAGTCGTATGTTATATAGTACTTCTTAAGTCGTATGTTATATAGTACTTGCTTTGATGCTAGTTACGTACACTGGTATAAAGTTGAGTTGATCAAACCCAAATGTTTTTTCATACGTGAAAATTGAACCCAGGGTCCTGAGATTCGAACAGGTTTTCTCAAGGACGGTAAAGTTCAGCTGAAGCAGGGTGAAGAAATCACCATCACCACTGACTATGAAATCAAAGGTGATGCGAAACTGATAAGCATGAGTTACAAAAAAGTTGGCCCATGACGTGAAACCCGGGATGGTCATACTGTGTTCCGACGGGACAATCTCGTTCGCGGTCTTGTCTTGTGACACGGACAAGGGTTTGGTCCACTGTCGATGCGAAAACTCCGCTGTCCTCGGCGAGAGGAAGAATGTTAATCTCCCGGGGGTCATTGTTGATCTCCCGACCTTGACGGAGAAAGACAAGGAAGATATCATGGGATGGGGAGTTCCCAACAAAATCGATATGATTGCTCTCTCTCGTTCGTTCGAAAAGGCTCGGATTTGATCGAGGTTCGGAAGCTGCTCGGAGATCATGCTAAGAACATTCTCCTCATGTCCAAGGTATGCATGTATGTCTCAAGAAGTGTTCATGTATGATGTGATGTGTAGTTGGTTATATTGTTTTCCCTGGAAATTTTATGTGGTAGGTTGAAAATCAAGAAGGGGTGGCGAATTTTGATGACATCATTACACATTCGGATGCGTTTATGGTGGCACGAGGTGATCTTGGAATGGAGATTCCAATTGAAAAGATATTTCTAGCACAAAAGGTGATGGTTTACAAGTGCAACATCCAAGGCAAACCCGTTGTGACCGCGACGCAGATGTTGGAGTCCATGATAAAGTCTCCCCGGCCGACCAGAGCCGAAGCCACCGACGTTGCCAATGCGGTTCTCGATGGAACGGACTGCGTGATGTTAAGCGGCGAAACTGCTGCCGGAGCTTACCCGGAACTTGCGGTCCGGACGATGGCTAAAATATGCATAGAAGCTGAAAGCACGATCGATTATGAAGACGTGTTCAAAAGGATCTTGAAACACTCGCCGGTGCCGATGAGTCCCCTAGAGAGCTTGGCTGCCACAGCTGTTAAAACAGCGAATTCAGCAAGTGCAGCCCTTATATTGGTGTTAACAAGGGGAGGAAGTACCGCGAAGCTGGTGGCTAAGTACAGGCCGGGGAAGCCGATTTTATCGGTGGTAGTCCCGGAGGTAAAGACGGACTCTTTCGACTGGTCGTGCAGCGATGAAATGGCCGTCAGGCACAGTTTGGTATTCCGTGGTTTGATCCCGGTGTTATACGCTGGATCCGCAAGAGCATCCCATGAAGAGACAACAGAGGAAGCTTTGGGGTTTGCTATAAAGCATGCAAAGTCACTGGGACTCTGCCAGCAAGGGGATTCTGTTGTTGCTCTGCATCGGATTGAAACTGCGTCTGTAATCAAAATTTTGACTGCGAACTGAATATTTTTGTTATTTTCATAATGATGCTCATGTCTGATTAAATTTTGTCCATATAACCGAATGTTATTTAATTTGTCCAATTGGAACATACACCAAATTACATAAATCAACAAATGAATGGACATTACATATTATCAGGATGCAGGAAAATTGACAACAAAAGCACAAATTCTTCCGAGGTTTCTCAAATTCAATCCAAAACAACTATCTACGTGATAGGCAAGGCAGGATCTTCAGGAACTGGAGGAAGCTATGCTAATACAACCGAGTCATTAACGGCCGTGGGATTGAGACCCCGACGAGAACAAACCATTGAACGGCCATGGCATTGTGAACCTTCTTCCATTCTCGCTTCTCCCGTCGCTTTCACTCCCTTCACCGATACCGTCAACATTGTTTCCGTTTTCTGTTTGGTTGGTATTAGTATTAGCCCTCGGCCTCTCCTGATCGAGTTTCGATTCATCAGCAGGCATTTGATACCTACAGACCGGGCAAGAACTATGAAGCTCCAACCATGGCAATATACACTGGCTGTGAAACTTGTGTTTACATGGCATTTCTTTTGCTTCCATACCAGCCTCGAGATCATCCAAGCACACGGAGCATTGCAACGTCTCCTCAACTTTCATGGTGGGCAAGGCTTCGATCGCCTCTTTCTGTGCCGGCGGAGTGCCATATCTGCTTGAGTCGTTTTCCGCCAAATGCTGCAACAATAAGTCCAGACCAGGACTCATGAAATAATCGCCTAGAGACCTTGTATGGCTCGAGTTCGAGTTTAGACCACTCTGATTGGAATCATAAGAACCTTGGACGACGATAGTCTGATTGAAAGGATTGATCAAGATCACTCGCTCCCGTTCCCTCTCTCGATCCCTGATCGCACCCGAATCCGCCCGATCGTTATCGTAATTTTCCGCTTCGGATGCAATCCCATCTCTGATGCCTTGAAGCAACTGCAAAATAGTTGCGGAACTCCTCCTCCTCCTCCTGACGATCGATTCAAGTTCACGATTCAAATCATTATTTCCCTCGTTCCGAGCTTCACCGTTACCATTACCATTACCATTACCATTACCATTACCATTACCATTACCATTACCATTACCATTACCATTACCGTCTTCTTCGATGTCGATAGGACCGAATCTTCGACGACGGCGGGGATTGCTCATCATACCTAACAAGATAGGCGCCCACAAGGAGAGTGCTCGGTCGGATCCCACGACGGAATCCATGTCTACACCACCGTCCCTAGCACCGCCACTCATTTGTTCGATAAACCCGCCTTGACAAAACGGGCAATGAATCTCAATTTCCATAACGGGAGTCACCACTTGAGAGCATTGGTAACACCAGTAATTTTCCGCCATAGCTTCCTCCTTCCTCAATCGAATTTCTTCTTCTTCTTCCTGTTCCTTTAAGGATTCTGTCATAAGCAAACATCACCAATACAATTAAATTCTTGTTCTAAATCCTTTCAAAATAGAAATCAATGATTCAAAACAAGACAGATTAAAGAACACGAAATTAAACCACAAATCCCAGATTTTCTTTTACCTCCTACCGTCTTGTTTTCTTCTTGATTGTTGGTGGCAGTGAGATTGAACAAGACAGAAACAAAAAGATGGGAAGAAGAATAACTTTGGGTTGAATTTTTGATTGAAGAGGAGAAAGAAATGGCTGAAACGTTACTTTTTTCTTCTTCCTCGTTATAGGACAATCAAACTCCATTATTAGCTAACCTAACTGGATTAGATTTGGATTGGATAATTTTATCAAGGGTCAATTTAAGTCTAGGAATATTTAGATTTGTTTTTAATTGGGGTTTGACTTTGAGAATTAGTTTACTAAATTTAGATTAACTTTATTTGATGCCTCTCTAATCTCTATCTTTGTAGGTGAGAGTTGAAAACAAATCAAATTTCATAGTATATGATTTTTTTAAGGCAAACTATATAAATGATCACATCAAGATTCTTTCTCCACTAATGAGACACATTGAACATGAAAATTAAAGTATCTTTATGTTTGTACATAAATCAACCATATGTAAGGAATAATAAATGATGAAGAAAAAAAAAAGACTTGATATAAAAATATGTATCTGAATTATATCTTAAATTAATTTTTAGTACCTAAAGATTTTTTTTAATTAAAATCAGGTGACTAAAGAATTTAATCTCTATCTTTGTTGGTAAGAGTTAAAAACAAATCAGATTCCATTGTTTATGAAATCTTAAAGGGTAAATTATATAAATGGCCATTGATATTTAAATAACTTTTTTACTAATATTTCAAACGTAATGATTAATCATTAATGTTATCGATTTATGAAAAATCAATCACTTATTATTAATAATTGTTATACGTAATAAAAAACTAATATGACACATCAAATATAAAAATATTAAAAAATGTATTTCTTTTGTATATAAATCAACATACGTAAGGAATAATAGATGAAGAAGGCAAAATAAAAAAAGTAAAAAAAAACCACATGCAAGGAATAATTGATGAAGATGAAAGAAAAATAAAAAAATAAAAAAATATCAGAGATTTTTGTATTTTTAAAAAAAATTAATGCAATATTCATTTTATTTTTTAATGCAACTCTTAAGCTCATAAAATAAATATAATATGACACTTTAACTAATATTTTTCGTCGTTTGATTGTTACGATACTGACATGATAATTCATAATATTGACGTGACGGTCTAAGATATTAACGTGACAATTCATCTACAATGTTTGGATTATCAATTTAGTCTTTTTTTCATGTTATTCACCACGTTATTAACCATTGTGGACTATCAAATCAACACCGTGATTGTCAAATCAATACCGTAACAGTCAACGACGAAAAATATCAATCAAAAAATCACATTAAATTTATTTTTGTGAATTGAAGGACCACGTTAAAAAAATAAATAATAAGATTACTCCTATTATTTTTTTACGTACAGGGGCGTCTTATACCTTTTTGCTAATAAAAAAAATAATAAGATTACTCCTATTATTTTTTTACGTACAGGGGCGTCTTATACCTTTTTGCTAATAAAAAAGGAAAACTGAGTTAAACAATCGTTAAAATGATTGTTTCGCCTGACTAAACAATATCATATTAACTAATTTAACATACGATTTAACATTTCATTTCCCAAATAATACCTACTAATGTTGAGTGATTAATTTGTTATATACTGATAATATTAATGATTAAATTATTTTTTTTAAAATAGGCTTAAGTATAAAAAAATGTTTAAATTATATTATTTTTCACGAATAGATGCTTAAACTATTTTTTAACTCATCTAGGTTTTTAAAGTTATAATCATTATCACTTTAGATGTTTGACGTTACAAACATTATTATTTTAGATATATTGTTTTTAAAGACCGTTAAAAAAATCCTTTAAGTGACATCTGTCACAATAGTAAAATATTAAAATTTTTATTTTTAAAATAACAATATTATTAAAAAAAAACTTCTCTTTGCATGAACCAACTTATCTTGGTGGTTAAAGAAATCGTTGTTGTTCTTAGAGGTCATGAGTTTGAACACCAACGACTACAGTAGAGTGATTGAGCGTTCGTTGTCAAATGATTGAGAATATATTTAAAACAAATACTACTTATAATCACCTTAGCTTAATAATAAAAAAACATTCCTGTGTCCCCTTTCCCTTTCTCTCCCCCTTTCCCCTTCTCTCCCCCTTTCCCCTTTCACTCCCCTGCTCGGTTGCACCTCTCCCCCTTCCCCTTCCTGCTTCCATAGCCAAAGACCGATTAAACGACCAATCAAATGGTCGGCTATCACAGCCGATTATCATGACCAAATTTAAGGAATTGAATAATTGAGATTTGAGAATTTTAGGTTTTGAGACGATATTAAGAGTTGTAACGGGTTAATGGGTAGTCGGTGACGTATTGGTGGTGCACCACCGGCGAATGGGTGGCGAGAGATGACCGGTGGTTGGAGTAATTTTAAAATTATTAGATTATAACATATGTCACTTAATGAAATTTTTTAACAGCCGTTAACATCGAGACACCTATAGTAATAACGTTTGTAACGTGAGACACCTAAAATAATAATATTTATAACTTTAGACACTTAGATGAGTTAAAAATAATTTATTCACCTATTTTAAAACATTATAATTTAGGTATTTATTTTATACTCAAGCCTTTAAAATATTAGTATAAAAGTAAACTTATTAAAATATATTGACAATTTATGTAGTTTACCCAAATACATATAATATAAGCAATTAAGCATAATAAAAACACTTTAGTTGATCCTTATTCTCATATATAATAAGATAAAAAAAGATAAGATAATAGACTGTCCCAACATTAAATTGAGAACAACTTTTATAATTTAACTCCAAATTATAAAATGCGAACTCGAAACCGTTATTTATATAGCAAGTATAATTGTCATTTGAGAATAAATTTTCTCAAGAAACAGGTAAATAAGCAACGAGGCATAGTTTAGGGGGAAAAAGAAGGGTCAAGCGCAAACAAAGAAAGGAAAAATAGAAGGGAGAGATCGGAATCGGATCGGAGTTAGGATTTGTTTGTGACATCGGAAAGAGAAATGAGAGGAGAAGAAGGTGCCGCCAAGGCGGCGGCTGCTGCTGCTGCTGCCAGTAATGATTCTGCAACAAAACCATGGGTTGAGGAATTGCAGGCAATCGGAAGCCTTAAAGATTCCAAAGACTCAGCCATTCGCTCTGCTCGTTCCCTTCTCCATAACTCTTCTAACCATATACGCTCTTTCCAGGTTTCTTATTTATTTCTTATTATATAACCGTTATAACACTGTTATTGATTTAATTCCGTATCATGTAGTTATTTAGGAATAATTTAAACAAATGATTATGAATTTTTGGGTTTTACAGGATTTTCTACCGCTGGCATCTTCCCAGTATAAGTCCTATGAAGATGCTTTTTTCAACAAACTTAAAGGTTTATTTTTTATTTGATTAATTTTTGGGTTTTAATAACTGGATAATTAGTAACTTTTTTTCTCAATTACAAAAAAAAGAGGGGGTGATGAGTGCAAAGGAACACCCAGGTGCAGCCGTTGGGATTACTATTACTGCTGCTCTCTTTCTCATGCCAGGTTTGTTTTTTTCCCGATTATCATTTCCTATTCTACAGTTTCATGTAACTAGTGCGCTAGATAAGACGAAACAGATAGTGAGTTTCTCGAAATCGACTTGGTCAAAGCTCGATCAATATTTGACTCGAAAGAATTTGACTCGAGTTCTTAACAAGCCGAAATGAGCTATTTGATATTCGACTCGAAAAAGTCTAGAGCAACTTGAAAATATAATATATTAAGATTTTATTATTTTAACAAATAAATTATTAATAATATTAATATTTGTGTGTTGATTTTTTTAAATACAATATAAGATTTTTATGTATTTAAGGTTGATGTTTGAGTTTGAGACTTAAATCGAATTAAATTTAAGATATTTTTTTGTCATTTCGAGCTTCTACGATCTTCAATTCATGATTTCGAGCTCAACAGTACTCGAGCTTAACTCAGCTCGTTTACACCCCTGCATGTAACACTTGAATCTTATCTCACCTGTAAACCAATGAAGAAAGCAGTATTTGCAGCAATTTCTTTTTGTTATAATCAATTGATGAAAATGGGATTGTGATTCTAATATTTAAAGATGTAAGAAGTGCAATTTGGAAGTGCAATACGATGTTTTTTCTGGGGGCATTGAAGGGGGTTGATGATGTCATTGGCGTTGTTTATGTTGTTGTTAGTAAATCTGCATTTGACATGCATTTAGTGCCTTATAAATCAGAGACTTAAAACCAAATTTTCCCTGCAAACTGGCAATAATTAACTAGAAGTTGTAGTCGTTATAGTTTATTTACCCAAAAGATTTAATATTTTCATAACCTGTGATGATATTGTACCCCTTGGATTACGAGGGTAGGTTTCATTGATTTTCTCCGAATTACATCCTCCTTCCGGCATCCGTTTCACCTTCTTTAGATCTCATGTTCAAGTTACGAAAGGAAAATATTTAATGTTTTTTTATCCTTTCATTTGACTTCTGTGCCCAACTTTCTGTTTACTCTGGCTTTTAAATTTAATACAAACTGATGCCAGACTATTTATTGCAGGGCCAAGAAGGCTTCTATTTCGTAAATTTCAAAGTGAAGAGGTAGCTATCCTGTTAATATGGTAGAAGTTTCCTTTACTTGGTGGAACTATAAGTATAATGTTTGCTTGCACTATATCTGCTGCTTGACCTGCCATTTTGAATTCTTTCCTAAGCCAAAGCAAAAACCTCAGGATCTAGATGTTATGCGTATCAACTTAAGGTTCGATTCTAAGCTCCCGTATGCGTTGCCTTTCGGCTAAACTTTCGTGCAGGCAAAATTTCTTAGGGCTGAGAAGAATGTAAAAGAGTTAAATGTATCTGTTGATTTGACGAAAAAGGAGAGCACTAAGCTGCTTGAAAGGGCAGCTCTTGCAGAGAAGGATATGAAGCGTGGCCATAAGGAGCTCTTGTATGTAGTATGATTTTCTTTAATGTTACGGTTCTAAATTATCACTATTTTTCATGTTTAACTATTCCATGTTGTATGCGTAGGAATGCTGGAGGTCAAATTCACCGTCTTGCCAAATCAGTTTACAAGGTTGAGGCAGAAGCCGCAGGTATGATCAAAGCTCACCTTTTCATTATATGTGTGTGCGCGTATATATATATATATATATTGTTATCCTTTGATAAACAGTTGTTGCCATGTTGGGCCTTTGGGAAGCCTTGACTGACTTTGACTTCTCATATCTATAGTTTGTCATTATTTACGTTTGATGAAACTGGTGCTTTCAAATATCTTGTTTCCCCCTGTAATCTCCTTTAGACTATATCGTTCGGTAAGCCTACAGTAGCACTTAGATTGGCCTTGTGGTCAAGCAGGCTGCTTGAACTTGGCATCAATGTCAAGATGAGATTGGTATCGACATCACGATACACCTTGCAATTCCAATTGTCATCCTTATCCACACGTTTTTATAGCTCTAATAAGGGTTGAAGAACGGGAACTGGTAGATCCTACGGATTGTTTTTAAATATTACGGGGTGATATTTGTATCTTTACAGTTTCTTTAACGTTCTTTATAGATTTGAAGGATAGACTGCGAGAAATCCCTGGCAGGGACGCGTTGAGACTACGAGCAGAGGCAAGCCGTGCATTTTGTTTATCTTCTTTGCAGTTTAGAAACTCATCCTTGATGTCGTTAACGATAAACTTTATTGTTAGGTTGCTTCGATAGTATCGATTTTGAGGCAGCAGAGGGTTTCACTTGACAAAAGGGTGAGGAAGATATCTGAATTGGGGATACCTGTCTGATATAATTGGTGTTTTGGAAGGATCTTTGAACTGATGATGCCCGCCTTTTCTGGATCCCATGTTTGAAGTACATATTTTGAATTATGTTATACAGTTATTTCCCCCACTTCATTTTTGCTATGTATGATTGATTCTGGTATCAAAGAATGATAAATATTTTATAATAATGATTATTATTTTATTCCTTTTGATTTTGGCATCATTGAATTCCCCAGGATTTTGTATACTGTTTCTTTCATTCTTTCCTTATCCTAAAGAAATAAAATAAAATTAGATTATTATAAATTTTAAATACTATTAAATTTTATCACATTCATAATGCATGTGAAATAAAACAATTTATATAAAAATATAGTTATAATATTTTAAATAAGTGGTCATATATTCCCCCCCCCCCCCAAAAAAGGGTGTTCAATAAAAATCTTTATCTATAATCAAAGTACACGGAAGAGAAAAAAAGTGCACCAAAAATTTATTATAGTAAATTATATCATTCCTCGTTGAAGTTTATTTTCTTCTATTTGATTCATTATACATTCAATTTTTTAATTAATTTATTTGAATTTTGAAATTACTCATGTTTTGGTTACTATAAAAGTTTTACTATTATTTTGATAAGATGTGATATTTTTATTATTAAAATATAAAAATAATTTAAAATAAATAATAAAATAAAATTTTATTTCTTTATCATTGGCCACGATCGACCACTTTGGCCTTAGAAACCAATAGTCATTTGATCCCAAATTGTACCGAGATACCCGTTTTGACACGCTGAGTCTGAATCTAGTGATTGTTTCACTATAAAATATCAAAAAATCTAAGAATCTCTATTGAAACATTTTGATTTACTCACTTTAGGTCTCCTATTCATGGGCTTCAGAGCACATTCCAAAAAAATAAAGTTCGAATTCAGACTCAGGGGTCGAGGTGAAACAACTCATGAAATCTAGGACTGAACGACCACCATCTACGGCGGTCGATGGCAGTTGACGTTTTGATTTTCTTACTTTTGATTGGATTCAGAGCATGTTATGACAAAATGAAGGTCGAATTCAGACGCAGTTGGTCGATATGAAGCGATCGATAAAATCTGAGACCGAACAATCACCATCTATGACCATCAACGACGGCGTCCAATGCAAGTGAATAATGGACACCTTTTATTTTTATTTTATATTTTAAATTATTTTTATATTAAATAATAATAAAAAATATCACACCATATAGAAATAATAATAAAATAATTTAGAATGATCAAAACCGGAGTAGGCAAATTAAAAATTTAAAAATACAATTAGTGGAATAGAAAAGAGAATAAAGTTTAAGAATAACTTAGTTTACCCATTTTGTTAATAGTAGAAATACCATTTTGATTTACAGAATGTAAGATTACATTTGTGAATAATATTACTATGGAAATATTATATTACCTTGTTTGGTTTGTTTAGCAGGAATGTAAAATTACAGTGTTTGGTTGAAGGAACATAAGATTACTTGAATGAATATTTTACCAAATTATCCTTGTGATATATGTTTTTAAAAAAAGAGTTAAACTTTAATATTAAATTGTAAATATTTGAATGAAAATTGATAGAAATACTTTAATCTTTATACTATCTAACTTTTGAGAAAAAATACATCTAATATATAATTAGTATATTAAATTTATATTTTTAAATAATTTTTATAAGCATCATATTTATTTATATAAAACACAATATAACATGAAAAAAATAATATTACGATCTTGAGTGGACAATGATATTATTTTCAATGTATAAGATCTAATTTTTAAGAACTTGAAGTTAGATATTATTTTAAATTATATTTTTATAATCATATTATTTTTCACCTCATAAAATTATAAATAATTAATATATTGATTATTAAAAATATAAAATAAATTTTAAATACTCAAATTTATTATTATTTTACTAAATTAAACTCTTTGTATATTATTATATTTATAATTTTAATTAAAGTAAAAAAAAAGAATTGAAAAGGATCATTATAAAAAGAATTCATTAGTCTAAGGGTATTCTTATCCAAAGTGGTGGGAATTGTCTGATACCTAAAAATTTGGATGTAAAGACATTCTCACCATTTTAACAAAAAAATGCTACTATTGGGGGAAAATTATTCTGTGAACCAAACGTGAGAATGTAATTCTGGAAAAAAATTATTCCTCCTGGTAATGTTTGTTTTACGAACCAAACGCCTACTAAGGGTATGTTTGATAAGGGAAAAAGAAGTTTCAATGATTTGTTTTTCGATTTTAAGGTGTTTGATAAAATATATCCAATCAACGTATTTAGTTTTCCATGTCAAAATTTTGCCTTTAATATTCTCGGTAAAATGTTTTAGTATAATACCCCAAATTTTAGCTAGTGACTAAAATATAAGTTTTGAAAGTTTGGTGGCTAAAGTATAAACTTATAAGAGTTTAGGGACTAAAAATATACTTTTGAAAAGCTATATATTTTAGCACGTAAATGAAAAGTTTGATTTAAAACAAGAATTTTTATGGAAATCAGATTTTTCGATACGAGATTTGTGTTAAAAGCTATAAAGCGATAAAGTTCGGTAATAAAATCAAAGCAAGCTATATTATATTGCATATAATGTGGATATGGTTAGAGTTTTTGCCTTGAGGTAAAAAGGGCAAGAGTCAAATTTGCAGATTGTTAAGAGAATCACGAGAAAGATTTTTGCACCCTTTGTTTGAACATGAAAAGATCCATAATCAGATCGAACCGAAAATTTAAGAAAATTTGAAGGATGTTAAAAAATGGTTGGAAATATTATTCCAATATTTTAGATCAGAGAAATTTAACTCAGATGAGTGTAATTTTTCAGATTTGTTGGAATAGTGGAATATTTTATGATTAAAATGCAATTTTCAAAAATTGCATGACCGAAGTGAAAAGTCAAAGATAAGTTTATTTATCTTTGACCAAGGAATATTTTAATGGATAATAAGAAAATGATATTTGGTAATTATCAAGGTTCATTAACGATAAAAATTGAATTTCTTAGGAATTGAATTTTAAATTCAATTTAATTAATTTAGTGCCAAGTGTATTAATTATTAAATACTAGACTAATCAAGATAATCAACTTATTTTCAGCTATTTTATTTCATTTGGCCGAAACCACTGGCTCACCAAGGTAAGAATTTTATTTTGATTTTTGAATTCATACACTTGATTTTTGGATTAAGCTATTAGATAGAGAATTAACCTACATGAAATTCTCTATCATTTGGTACCAATATTTCATAGTGAGGATGATTATGTGTTGAGATTGAAAGTTACGGTTTATATAGGGTTTATGGATTTTGAAGAATTGATGAAGGATTTTTATAGTTTTGATGTTAGTGATTAATCCTAAAGCATGTATGATGATTAAAATCATGTGTAAAAGCCTTATGTTATGCTTGACCAAATTAGGCTTTATGGAGTTTTGAATGGATTTTGATTTAATTTGATGTTAGGATGATTGGAAATGCATGAATTTAATGTTAGGAGGTTGAATTCATGCTTGAAATTGAATGAAAATCAAGCCCTAATTCACTTAGGGTATTCGACCATTAGGGAAATTTAGGGAAAAATGTTGAAATAATTCCTATGGTCTAGTATTGATATTAGAAGTGTTTCATATGATTTGGAGACCAATTTGGAAGCTTGAAAAAGAAAAAGGGTTAATAAACAAGTTTTGAAAATTGTGGAACATTATTGCAAGAATGAGATATTTGAAAGGTTCAATGCTGATTTTTAATATTTGAAATGCTGGAAATTTAAGTTAGAAAGTTGATTGGAACCAAATTGCAAGTTTGGTAAAGTTTAAGGGTAGAATTCGAAAGATCTCAATATTATAGGAACTTGATTTCAATTTTATTAAATGTGAATGTATCATTTGGGTAAAATATTATAATACTGGAAATTTTATGGACATGCTGGCTTTTAAGTTCATCTATTGAGTTGGGATCAAATGTTAAGTTTATAAAGATGGATGGTCGAATTCAAAAAGTATAAGATAGTTTAGGACGAAATTACTAGTTTTTGAATGTTAAAGTATTTGTTTAAGAATTTTTATAAGGTGCTGGAAATTTTATAAATTAAAGTGCAATGATCTAAATGGTGAGGGATTATTATGAATTTAATGGAAAAATTAAGGTGAATTCTAGAAAGAATTCATAATTAGTGGCTTGATTTTGTATTTGAAAAAAGTTGAAGGGTTGATAATAGAAATAAAAACTTATGGAATTTAAGGAAATATTTTTAAGAAGTTTGAAATTACGATGAAAGTACGATTTAGTTTTATAATGATTTAAGCATCAATTTTATTTCTATCTAATTTTATAATTACGCTTAGATTATGTTAGTTTGATACTAACATGTAGTATGGACATTCTATGTTATTGTATGACATCTTCATATCACGGTAAAACTAGTGATTCGAATAGCTCGAAAGGGAAGGAAAAAGTTTCAGATCGAGAAGGTTATCGTGGAGAAGGTTCGATAGCAAGACAAAGGTGAGTGCATTTAATTTGTATTTATGTTATAGAACAAACATTGGCTTGAAATAAGCCAATTTTGGAATTACTACGATAAAAGGTGATTTCCATGCTATATGAATTGTGATTCTAGCCTATATGTTCATTTATTAAGCTTATAGAATTAGGGAAAAGAATTAAGGATGCAAATTAAGGAAAATTGTCTAGAAATTAATGATTCAAATAGTTAGTTTAGAAATTAACCATAAATTATATAGAAATGATTAGAGGATGAATTTTATACCTTAGATTTGTATATCAGTATAGTTTTGTCTATAATAAATGTCTACTGATTTCGAGGTATATACAAAAAGATATGAATTTGTAATCGAGAATAGGTCAGAAAACATGACAGCAAATTCTGCTCAAAACAACTTCTGTTAGCCAAATTTGAAAATTCGTTATAAATTGTACAAGTTGAAATAGAAGAAGTTATTTATATGGTTAGATTCATATTTGAGTCTAGTTTTCATTGATATTAACATAATACTTTTTAAGTATGTATATTAATAAAAAATAATATTTCTTTGAAGATAGTGCAAACTGCGAGAGCATGAAATTTTGATAAAATTGGATAGTTGAAACATTTGAGAACAAATGATTAATTCTAAAGCTTAGTGAGACTT